CGATAAAACTAATTACAAAAAACAGGCTGCGGGCAGGATTTGGCTCACAGGCCATATAATTTGCTGGCTCCTGGTATGGACAAATAGATTGATAAGAGCCATGCAGTAAACATTTCTATCTCCAGAATCAGACAATGGTAAAGTTAGCTATCTCATATCTTAATTACATGATATTATTCAAGTGGGAGTACAAGGACACAATAATTTAAAGTTAATAACATTTAAGTTAAATACTTTAAAAGAAATGCTTAAAGAATCTACAAATGCAAACTTTTTAGAGAAAAAAGAAATCTATTAATCATAAGGTATAATCGCTTTTACTCATATATATAATACAAGTTGCATTTTAGAGATCTTAGCTTTTTTATAACTTCAGCAATTCACTCTATGGAAATGTTACCCAAATTTCCATCTTCCATCCTACGCTATCTCTACAACTACATTTCTACATTTCAAGTGCATACCTGGTTATTTCCACTTGGCTAATCCTGCCATGGCCTCACATATAAAATGTATAAAATACACCTTCCAAAATTAGCTCTACTTTTAGACGTAGAATTTTCACCAATGAAACTATTCTTACACTAAAAATGTTGGACTTAAATAATCATATGATCAACTTCGACTCTTTTATTTTTACCTTTCTTCTATTGTCTGCTACTAAGTCCCAAAAATATTTCCCTCTATCATATGTCCACAATTTATTTATTTTTGCCTATTTATATTACTGTTGTTTCTACGACTTCAACCTTGCATTGCTACAGCAGCATACTAGCTGGCATTCAGGCCCAAGTGTCTTATCTTTCTAATTTATTCTGTACACGCTGACAGATAAAACACTGCTTTCATCAGGTCCTTGCTCATACCACTTATTGAACAAGGTCTAAAATACTGATCTTGACATTGATAGCCTTCCACAAAATCACCCCAGGCTCCAGATCACATCTTCAGAGCACAATCCACCTACTTTTCTGTGAACACATTTAATGTTTTTGTTTTTCTTACCTCAAACACTTAGCTTATAGAATTGATCTTATTTTGTATTCTTTTATCCTCTCTACTTCTAATATTACGGTACAAGTCAAGTCCCAACCCATACTTTAAGTCTTTCCTCACTCTTCAGCTTCAAATGACTGGCTTTGCAATTGATAAGTTTCAGTTTTTAATTCTTACTTGTTAGGTGGCATTAACAGTGATCTAATTTCCCTAAAAAATAGAAGCTCTCTGGTTTAAAGATCTTCATTCTTTCCTAATATTTATAGCTTTTTCTACAGTCTTCTGAATGCAGTAACAGTGGAATGAGTAATTGAAATGAGAAATTCTGATATGCTAGAGGGGACAGAGAGTAGCTTCTCTATAGTCTTTGTTGATTGTTTCAATGTTTACCATAGAATTATTTTTTGTCATAAAAAATAGCACAAGTCCACGGAAACTTTTCTCTTTCTCTTGATTTACCTTCGTCATTTTATAAATATTTTTTCCTTCTGTTTTAGAGATAAGAGAATGAGATAAAATGCTTATGTTATAAGAAATATATTTAGTATATATTTGTATTTTCCAATTCAGCATTCTAAAACAGTTATCTGCCAAGCATGTCAAGTTAAGAATGCTCACAATCTCCATATCATCACAAACTGTTACAATCCGCACCTCTCTGTCCTTTCTTTTGAACATGGCCATTGTGATACCATGGAACTTTTAATGACAACACCGTACTTACAACATGATAGTACACCTTGACCAAATAGGGCAGTTTTGTTTTTAATGACATGACATTTAATAGTTTTCATTTTTGTAATTCATTTTGAATTCTTGGTTTGGATGTTTTAGGAATTTGGACACTTGAAAAAAAAGGTTTACCTCATAAGAACACAAGAGTTCTACTTTTGCCAAATGGAGTTAGAACATATGTTTTTCGGTCTCCTCCTTCTTCACTCCTTCCTTTTCTCCTTCCTTCCTTTCCTTCCTTCCTTTCTTCCTTTTGTCCTTTTTTTTGCAGACTAAATCCTCAGAGAATCCTATTTATATATTCTCAATGAATTTTATTACATTTCTTTAAGTAAATAGCATTTCAAGTTATATGTAAGTAAAATGTGCATGAACTACAAAGACATAATAGTAATAATTCAATTTTACCCACATAGTTCTATTTTATTTGGTTCTTTCTTCCTTTGTTAGTAGTGGTAAATATATTCCCTTAAAAAATGTTATTGAAGTCTACACTTTACAATGATTTTTTCCTCAAACTATGACATGTATTTTATTTGATTCCATTATACATTTTATAATTTTGTGTTGGAACGCAATAATCGGATAGATTATAGGGATTCAAAAGTGATGCAAAGCATATTTGTAAGATAATAAGTTATATAATTAATATAGCAAGTAAGTTTATTTTACATCATAAATGTTAGCTATGACTTTCCTCAATGGATGAATTATATTCATTTATTATTTTAATTATCTATGTTTCAAAATGTTCAAATTGCAGCAAGATGACACTTGTAATAATATTAAACATGTATTTCCTATTAAAATTGAGATTACAAAGAAAAAAATAACACAAGTTCATTTTTTAATTTAAGTCTCTGACCACATCAGTAAGGACAAAGATGAAAATAGCAAGAACTTGGCAGGTTAATAATGTGGAGTTCTGAAAACAGCCATGACCATCAAAGGAAGAAAATTTTGTCTTCTTGCAATTAGTAAAAGATACTTCTACACTCTTAATTTTCTCCCTTTCATGTTTCTATAGAAATATAAGCTGTATGAAAAATCAGTCTTTCATCTACTAAGGCAATAAAAAGACTGCCTTCATATGGAAGTTAAAGGGATTGTTCTAAATATATTTATGAAGATATCACTTGCTATAATGCAACTTTCACTTCCCAGATATCCTGAAAATGGATAAGATTGCTGAGGTACAGCAAGTTGTTTGACAAGTATGCCAAGATTAGGAAGCACTAGGTAAGTACAGGCAGAGAAAGAGACACCAGTAATAGGAAATCAAAAATGGAACAATCAGAAAGATAGGAGAAAGTCACACACTGAAGACACTAAAGACCCTTTTATCACAGAGGGAGTGGGTAAGAAGTATTCAATACAAGGTGGCCACCCAGGATGAAGAATTAACAGTTTTCCGATTTGGAAATGCAAAGGTTGCTGGTAATCATAGAAAAAATAGTTTTTGTGCAGATAGTGTGTCAAAACCCAAAAGGCCCATATGCATACATTCACTTGGGTTATGAACAAACAGGAAGAGGGAAGAAATGAACATTTAATGAAGACAACATGTGCCAACTGCTGTAAGACTTTTGTGTTCTTAGCCTTAAAGGGAGGAAATGAGTCATCCAAGGTTGCGCAGCTTATACGTCATCGTTTGAAACTGAGGCTGTTTTCACACTTTTGTTGCATCTACTGTATCTTGTATTTCCTCCAGTGGTGTTTTATAAAAATATGGCTTTCATCTGCTTTACCTAATTTTGTTTCACATTTTGAGCTCTGGGTATTGTTTGTGCGTCTACTATGAAAATTCGAATAATCCTAAAACAGCAGTTGGTCCAAACCCCTCTTTTTTTTAATATAAATAAACTGAGGTCCAGAAAACTGAAGGGATGAGTAAGACACATAGTATAAGTAAAAGAACGGAGACTAAAACTTTTGTTTCCTGATTCCCAAACTCATGCTCATTTTCATTATAAACTCTATATAGAACCCCAAATATATGCAAATCTATGCCTGATTCAAGAAGGAGTTAGTAGGGCATGACAAGAAAATCTCATATCACTCAATTTCTTAAAGAAGGATTTGAAATGGAGGAGAATGACTTTCAGTTCTGTATACCTAAGTCTCTATAACTGTAAAGGGAGTCACAGTTATGTTTTACCCAAAGTTGATGGTGGGAGATATATAATGAGAATTATGCAAATAAAAAGAAATCCTGAAAACTACTGCAACTAGGAATTTAAGGTTATTTGGAAACTAAGTTTTATGTTTCAGATGAGGACTTCTAAAAGGAAGATTATAAAAATAGGTTTTTTTCTTTTATTTTTTTTATAAAATAGAAACTTTTTTTTCTTAAAAAGGCAGTTTTTTTCCACTCTATAGAAAATGAAGTCCCAGATCAAATCAGCAAAAACTGGAATTCTGCTCTATATGTTCAAATTTTTGTATCAACATGAAATACATAACTACACATGGGAGAGCAAAATATGTTTTTTATAAATTAAAGTTGCTTGCATATTCAATTATGTATTGTGCTACATTTTAAATATACAGCAGAAGCTGTATGCTTTAAGTCAATATGAGTAAAAATAATCATGTACTCTTTAAAGACTGAATTTGCTATGTCTGGAAGAAACAACAGACTCCAAATCTTGAGTTTATATATTCCCTATAATATCTAGTAAATAACAATGGCAATCTTGAACATTCTCATTACCTATTTCCTCAAGATTCCATGTTATTTAGTGGTGCAGATTGCAGTCAAGTAAATAAGTCTACCATTTAAAAATCAGTACTGAATATGAACAGAATTGTGGATAGCCATGAAAATGACAGAGATGTCATTCTGAGAACTTCTGAAAAAGTTAACTAATTCTATTACATTGTATGTATGCACATATATAATGCATATAGGCAAGGAGGTAAGAATCTTATTGCTTATTAAGGTGGCAAGCAAAATGCTATGGAATACCTTAATCTAAAAACAAACAAACAAACAATAAAGCTTCAGTGTACCATCTATGTCATAACTGAAAGCTTGGCCTGACTTTCTTTCAGATATAAATATGAGAAAAATTCAAGAGTTATGCCAAAGAACATCAGGAACAGTGTAAAAAGACAAGTTTCCATGTCCTGATGTTTTGTGGAATGGCTCACAGCAGATTTATATCTGCTTTTCTCTGTTTGCTAAGCATGGTGTCCAAGTGACAAATGCATCAAAACCGTGGTTAAGCTAGTGATGCTGGAGAAATGAACTGTGAAATGGCGCCTCCCACCTCTTGCCTGTCGCCCAGGCCCACAGCCTTCCTGTGCTCCAGGGCTGTCTTGTTGCACGCTCCAAGGGACTAATTGGCATCTGCGCCATTTGTGAGTCTTCCACCTACAAGACAAGAACAGAAGCCCAATGGAGAAGAAGCAAAAATACCAGGCAAATCACAGAGACACAGCAGTATGGAACCACGACTTTGACCACTGCAAACAGAAATTTATTTAACAATGCTCAGTTCTATCTAAATTTCATTTAGATCTCCACCTAGGCTTTAGAAGAAGTGACATTAAATATAAAAGTACTTTCTCTGGTAGTGAAGACAAGAACACATCATTGTCAAGTTCTATAGGACTCTATAGAAAACATTTAGAGTTTTTAATGATTAGGACTGCCAACAAATGCACCAGATGGCCCCAGAAGTGATGTATGCCATTTAAATAAAGTATATTTATTTTATTCAAGTTATGAAACTGTATTCAATTCATGAGTCTTTTGTATAGTGCTCTTTTGGGTAGCATTGTAGGAGTATCTCAGCAACTATAATTATAATATGCTTTACAAAAACAAATTCCAAAAATAAGTAAGTTTGAACCAGTAGTTGTCCATGTTCATGGTGTAAGCATACAATTATAGTATTTGTCATCTCAGAACTAAAGACTCATATATTAAGATGGCAAATTTGACAATGTCATCTTAAATATTTATTTTGTGACTACATTTTTCATTAATTGATGCCATAATACCTCATTTGCTGTCGGGACTGCAAATGTATACCACGTCAGGTTTCTATTAGATAATTTCTGTCTTAATCATGAGGAGGTAAAATTTCTCTAATAAATTATCAAGATGATATATAGCTTCAATAACTGTAATTTTACTTAAGGTGATCACAAATGAACAGAACATCTAAGCATCATTGAAATACAGATGTCATTTCCTGAGCCAGAATGCAAGCATTTATGAGAACAAACAGGTGCTCTTTGGAGCAGGGGAGAGATGCTTAGGCTATTCTTCTAAGTGAAAAAGAATTGCTTCCTAAAGCATACATGTTTCATAATCACTAATCACTTTTCAGCATTTCTTATATGTTATATCAACATAAGACATTTCCCCAAACTACTGGAGCTAACACCACACCTTGGAAATTTATACAAGTATTTGCTCCTTATACATCATTTCAGCAGCAGAGCAGCTCTCCTGAAGAGACAAGAATGGCAGCTACAGCCATAAACATCCTAACTCCATTAAGCCTGTGGAAGGAACAGTGTTGACTTCCTTTCCTTATCCTAGGAAAGAATGAGGAGTTGACATATTTGTTCAGCTCCTCCCTCATGATACCTTTCTCTAACCCTACCTGTAACTTTGGCACACTTGAGGTGCGTCGCAGGCCTTCTCTTCATAGAGGGGCTCTGTGCAGTCTCGGCCCCCGTTGGCTGGCAGTTGAATGATGACCCGATGCCTAGACTGCTTCCTGATACTGGAGTCCCCTGCAATGAAGCAGTTTTTTAACCTCTGTACTTTACACTGATAAGATAATCTCTAAATACCAGTCTATGTGAAGAAATTACATTACCTCCGGCTACATGTGCTTTGACATCCCTGAGAGGCTTTACCTGGTCTAAACATTTCCAAAGACCATTTATATCGAAAACCCAATCAACTCCTATTTGAAAATAGAGAAAAAGTGAAGAGTGGAGAAAATAGTTCCACAGTCAATTAGACTTTCTAAGGTGCAGTTACAAAGTAATTGCTCTTTTGTATAATTCTTTCCCTTGAGGAATATGACAGACCTAATTAATTTATTTTCCTCTACCTTAAATTTATTTTCATGCTATTTTGCCTAGCCCTGTTTATCACATGGGACTCATACACATGTAATGAATCTTAAATTCAGTGCTATAATGTGAAATTTTATTTGTTATTCATTTAATTTGAAATGCATAACTTGTAAATTATTCTGGTCATTTATTATTCATGTTAAACAGTCTAAGATCTTCAATTCAGGTCGCATTCTAAACATTAGGGATCTAAGTAGTAAAATGAAAGTGGTTTCTTAGAGGCAGACACAGACTTTTTAGAGAAGCACTCAAAATAGCACTAATTACTATAAATAAGAAACTCTAAAGTATGTTAAAAATGGAAAAAATTAAGATATACTTTCAATAAAGACATCGACTTGACAGTACGACTGATGTAAGGATTCAAAAATCTTTTAGTATAAGATCATATAGTGTATAAAACTTGCCAACCTTAATAAAATGTATTTCAACTAACATTACATACACTTTAAGGATGAATAGCTGCATGGCACAGGGTTTTACTTACTAAATAATTCTCTCAAGAATTACGTTAATAGAATCCTCCTGATGCATTTTCATTATTTGGAAGATCTTCAAATATTTGATACATAGACTATAGGAACAGAAATATTTTAAAGGATTAGCAGCTCCTAACAATTAACGTTTAATCAGAAACCAAATGAAACCATTTTAAAAGATATGGCGGTGGCGGAGAAAGTATGATTTGATGATTAGAACATTCCCATAATGGAATATCCTTTCTCATTAAGTCGAGGATATTCTTCAGCATGGTCTAGGCAACTGACTCACTGCCATGTTTAGAGAGGATTTCTGTATTGGATGGGAGAATGGATCAGATTAGTGATTCCTCAGTGCCTGACTTCATAGGAGAATCTCTTTAACAACAACAACAAACGTCTGGGCCTATACCCAGAACTACTAAATCAGAATCTGGAAGCTGGGTTTGGGAATATGATATTTAAAAATCTTGCCAGGTATTTGGGATGAAGGGCCAGGTTTGAAATCTACTGTAATACATGACCTTGTATGACCTATCCCAATTCAAGATTCTGGTCTTACATGTAACTTTTTAGAATTATTATTCCCATCGTGGGGTGTAATCTGTACTATTTATCATCATAACTATTTTATCATCATAACTATTATTCATCATAACTATTTTAATGAATAAGCGGTATACTACAGATAATGGAGTAGGGAATTGGGGGCTAGAAGCATTGGGCAGCACAGAATTAAAGTATTTGAAAATATTGTCATGGACTTTTAACTGTAACAGTAGTTTGAATGCCAGCTGCAACTTTTACATGTTAAATATAATTTATCTAGGGAAGATCTAAGAAATGTCAATAGGACTTTTAATAAATTGCTAATGCAGTCTCCATCTATTATATTGTCCAAATGACCTGTATTTTAAGGCCCAGGTGGTAAATTCCTTTAATAATTCAGAGCCAGGGAAAATTTTGTTTCCCTTGACAATCTGTTAAGAATCCATTGTAGTTCTATTTTTTGCTTTGGTCACCAGAATCTCAGAGCTAATTTTCTTCTCAACTGCAGGAGCTTGCCTCAGCTTTGATTTTCTAGCATAACTTTTCCTCTCCCTCTTCCTTTTACCCCCTCCCCTGTTCACTGCCTGGCTTTGCCCTTCTTTTACAATTTCTATTGTTTTTTTTCTTTTATGCTTATGATCTGTCCATAATCTTTTCGTTTTTTTTTTTAAAGAATATACAAACTAAATAATCAGACTCATCATTTGTTTAACTTGGGGAAGCAGGAAGGTTTCTGTTTGCTTGTTTTTTAATGGGGAGGTAAGATGTAAAGGGCTCAAATGGGTTTTTGTTTCCCAGTTGGTCAAAATTCTTAGAGGCAATTACTCTCCAATCTGCAGAGAGAGGACAGACACAGGATTAAGACCAAGGGATCTGGGGACTGGTGGAGACAATGAATTCAGCATTAGTGGCACCTCATAGACTAAAGCTCCTAGTTATTAACTATCTAGGTGGCACCTGGTGCATAGCCAGGGCTGTTTTACTTGAAGAAGCAGCTACCAAACATTAATGTTTCAATTCTATTTTGTTTGTTGATTTGAAAGAAAAAATGTCACTTAGAATACATTTCTGAAACATTCTCTTAACACCTTCTCATCACAAACTCCACAAATTAGTGCTAGATATTGAAGACTATGATGACTCTTTTAACGTCCTTAATGGATTCCAGAGTGGCAATCCATTTATTCTTACAAAAAGTTCATATTCCTTAACCTGGCACAGCCCACAGGATAGAGATTGTGAACTGATTAAAGTGGAACTCTTCAAAGCTATGACACCCTGAGAAGAAGTTTAATGGGGTTACACAGGAAGTGTCATGACATCCATGTTTTTACCCATTGGGAGGTCTCTTTCTTCTCAGATTGTAGTTAAGAAATTGCTTGTGCACTCAAAGTTACAGCGCTGTAGAGCTCTGCCAGGTTATAGAGCCCTCAGATCAGAGAGCAGAAAAAAAGGAAGCTATACAGCATACATTGAAAGCGAAAAATGAAAGTTTCCTCACTAATAACTTGAGCTGGCAATTTTGGAATTTTATACCTTTCATCGTCCCCTGCTTGTATTTAGACTCATTTTATTATATGTAGTTGATATATTTGTAGTGTTTCTATTCATCTGTGTGTTTTATACCTAAGAGTCACACATAGTAAGTGCTTAATAAATATTTGCTGAATGCACAAACATATTTATTTCACATCTTCTCAACTAGATTATTAGTTAGCACCTTCTATTTCTTTCCACTTATTCCTTTATAATGGTAAGCGTGTGGGTACCAATGCTGTGCATTGAGGATTAATAAAAATAAGCTATCACTTTGTTTTCACTGGAAATAATAAGTATGGGAAAAATAAGGGCACCTGCCTGTGATGTTTGTGCTTAAAAATGCCTATCCAGGATAGGAATGGAAAAAACAGATTGTACATCTAGCAAATAATTATGTGATGATGGGGTACCGAGATTCAGAAGGTATGTAATCTCTCACACAGTTATAGCATTTTTCAGATATCTTAAGACATTCAAAATAAATTTCACCAGAGAAATTACTTGATGAAAAGGATTTAAAAGGCAGGCAAAACTGATTCATTAAACTGGATATGGGATGGATTGCAGGTTGGAGCAGCACAGTAACAGGAAATTGAAAGGGAAACGTTTCATGCAAGAAGCAAAATGTAAAGGTAATATTCAGATCTTTGGTGGTAATTCTAGTGTTCTAGTGATTCAGGACATGAGGAATAAGCCCCTGCAATATTCCTTCTATCTTTCAACACAATAAATGCAGTGAGAAAAAAAGGAGCAAACAGAATTTGAGCAATCAAATACATTATTTGATCAAATGTATTGATTTTTTAAAATTAGAGGTACAAATAATTTATGTGCATAAATTATTTCTACTTTTTAAAGTGCCCTTTGTCAAAATTTACAAAAATTTGAAAAATACATTAGCAAATGTACTGGTCTGAGGATTCAACTACGTTCCACTTAATACTGATCTTTGCCAGCATTGATTTTTCAAGGGATATTTTAGAAGAAGGCTGAATAACATTTCAAACAACTCTTTTAGTTCTTCCTGGAATCCTGCTATTCTGTTTTATTTTCTGCAATAGTATTGTGTATTTTACTTTTTTAAAGTGATTTTAAAAAGAAGGGTAGTCCCACATTTTAATAAGCCCAACATCCTTGTAAAATTTAGACTTTACTCGCAGAGTTAAGTAAAAAGAACCACCCTATCTTTGAATTAATTTTCTGTTGCTATTACCTGTCTTTGAACATTCAACTTTGTTTAGCATTTTTAAATAGTGTGTGTAAATTGGTATAATTTCAAAATGATACTTGGATTATTTCCATTTCTTATCAAATACTGAAAAAAACTAACCTCATGCCATTGCTTTATTTTCTTCACAACAAAAGGCCAACTTTCTATAACACCATTGTCTCTTTATTCTCAGTTACAGCAGTCTACAGGCAAAACAGAAAAAGCTTCTTCTAGAGCACAAAGCATCTTGGCACTGCTATCCAACAATGACCCCTTCTATCACTCCCTAGTCTTTAAAAAATTTTTATTTCCTCAATACACCATTGTAGTGATTCTTTTAAAATCGGAGTGCCTAGGTTTAGAGTTTCTGAAAACCTTTTGTTCTAGGAGAAACAACATGAGCTGCCAAATAAAACGGTCAGCACTCATTGCTTGCTCCGGATGACATGACCTGCGTTCAGGGAAACACCGCTCTGCCTCTTAGAGAGCCTCTTGCTTCCAAGAGAACCAATTCCTGAGTTGGCATTTTTGCACTCCTTTGCCACCACCATCCCAGGAACACCAGGAGAGAATAGTATCCTAGTGGTACCATGCATTTTTACTTACAGAGGTTTCCTACCTTCTCCCAAGAGACCAACCCAACTAAACCCCTTAGGCCTCACATGCCAGTCACTCATCACAAGAAATGAGCCCTCCCCAGCTCAGGTCACCTAGACCCACAGCACTACCTACATGCACAACACGATTCAGCTTCTCATTCCTTTACATCCTCTAGCCCTTCTACCAATGTGCCAACTGGAACACATGGTCTCTCATATTCAGTCTCTTCTGGAAAAGTTTCCTTCACATCTTGGGTTCCAGTGGGCTGGTCGTTCCAAAATCACATCTTTCTCATGGTCATTTAAGGCTTTCCTGATGTCTCCAATCCTCACTTGGAATTCTTTCATGTGGTCCATCTTTCAAGAAGATCTCTTGCACCTCCTTTTCAATATGATTTTCCTTAATATATTTGCTCTGACATGATTATTCTATTCCCTTCCTTAGAGCTCTTTCTGTTTTACCATTAAATGTTGTTATTGAACCATGTAAGTCTTACATTATCTGGGCTGTGCAGAAGAGTTCTATATGTTAAATGCAATTAAAAGCTTTCTTGATGTCTGGGACTGTGATTTCTCTACACGACCATTAGTGCGCTAGTTATATACAGAAATCAGTAAATAAGTAATAAGTATTTATACATATATACACAAATAAGTACTGACTCAGTTAAGACCTAATGTGAATGTGTAGCATTCACAATCTAGTCATTCTCATCTATCTGCTAAGTTTTTTTAAGTGCTTTATGTGAGTCATCACAGTGTTTTACATTTTTTATTTTATAAATGATCAAATAGCAAAGAGTAAATCATTTTCTTCATACTGTAAAAATCACAAATTTAAAAATCATGTTATTTTCTTTTCAAGTCTGGTTTCTCATGAGTAAAAAACCTCCATTTTTTCTTTCCTTTCCAGATGTATATAATACATAACAAAATCACAAATGTGTTTTCAAGAACTTAAGAAAAAAATTTATAGGCTATTAAAATGGTTCCTAATTCCTGGATACATTCCAATATCCAAAATTAGTTTTAAATAAAGGTCTAAAGAAATGAGAAAATTTCTGATTCTTCACTCTTATTAGTGATTACTCTAGAATCAATTTAATAAAATATTTTCTGTTCTTTTAAAACTTTACTTCTTTGAAATACTTTAGATCAAATCAACTTTTTTAAAAGAGTAATTTACACAATATAAGAAAATATCTAAAATAAGGGAAAGGCAAAGTCTTTGCACTCTCAAAATTTTCAC